TTAAAGTGGGTGTAACTGTAACTAGAGCAGTGTAAAGGGCTTCCATGTAAATGAGAAACAGGACCATACACTCCATCTACTATGTGCATTTATTTTTTGTGTTTATTTGGATTACTTTTAAGAACTGGATAATTAAAATAAGGAAACAAACCTCTGGGTTGCAAATCAATGTGGAGAGAAAAGACATCTGCAAAAGAGTAAGCCCTGGTCTACACTACAGACTTATGTCGATATAACTACATTGCTCAGTGGTGTGGAAAATCCACACCTTTGACGGACATATTTATACCGACCTACCCAATGGTATAGACAGCACTATATTGACGGCAAGGCTTCTCCCGCTGACATAGCTACTGCCTCACAGGTAGGTAGTGTCTTTGCTAGGCACAGCTACTCTGCTGCAGATAAGCTCTAAGACATGAACAGGTGTACTAGATTGCAAAGCAGATGTCCAGTCAGTATCATGCAGCTCAGTATCAGACAGCACAGACACTGTGATCAGTACTGCCACTGAACTAAACACGAGGCAAACTGCGGACAGACTATCAGGAAAGCTGTGGAACATTGTGCCCTAACACATTGTTCAGCAACAAGTGTCAGGGGCCCAGGTACATGTAAGTATGTAGCACAGCATTTCCAGATTTGTAATAGACCACACACATATACTCACTGCACATGGCCACTGTATTCCTTTCAAGCTGCTGTAACCTGCTTGTTTCTCTAGGGCAGTGTTTCCCAAACTTGGGACGCCGCTTGTGTAGGGAAAGCCCCTGGCGGGCCAGGCCGGTTTGTTTACCTGCCACGTCCGCAGGTCCGACCGATCGCGGCTCCCACTGGCCGCGGTTCGCTGCTCCAGGCCAATGGGAGCTGTGGGAAGTGGTGCGGGCCGAGGGACGTACTGGCTGCCCCTTCCAGGGACATAGTCTGCATTCATGAGCATGATATCTGAGCACCTTGCTAGTCTGCACAGGTGAGGTGGGTATTCATCTGTACAGGATTCTCCTGTGATGTAATGCCTGTTGGCTGTTACACCACTTTGCCAGGGGCACATTTCACTGTTTATCACAGTAGTGCTGAGGGGCCTCAATCAGGGATCAAGGTCCCATTGTGCTAGGTGCTGTACAAATGCATAACAAAAACATGCAAACAGCTCTTACAATCTAAGGAAAGGGGTTATGATTTTCAGAGGTGCTGCTTTTTACTATCTGTTAGAGAATCCCTTTTGCAGTTATGCAGTGATGCGACAAACCAACATGTAGCCGGTTTTCTCTTGCACTTGACCTTGTTGGGTTCTAGTTGTTGTAAATTGGGGCCATTTACTGCATGGCATGGAACCAAAAGAAGCACGTGTCCCTTTATCCTTTTGAAAATTCTTACCTGTACTATAAGAAGAAATTCAAGTACAGTAGTGCCTTATATTACAACTTAGATTGAGCTGCATTTTCCACTAATTTTAAAGAATATTTGGTACTGCTTCAAATTCAAGTATATTCACTGCTGTAGAAGAGTTAAGTACAGATCTGTTTTTGCATGTATATGTTAGGCTCAATAAAATAATAGCTTTCCCTAGAAAAAGTTTGTATTATTTTTAATTACTTTAGTAAAGTTATAAAAAATTGTGTTAAATACACAGCCGCATATGCATGAACAATTTTGTGCTTGTGTTAATCTATTTTTCAATATACCCTCTTGTCTCAGAAATTGTAGAGCACGGGTAATTAATAGGCGGACTGCGGGTCAAATCTGAAGGGCCAGATGTTTTTGAATGGACCCCAAAATCTTTTTATTTACTTAATATTATCATTATTGTTGGTATTTTTTTTATTATTTTCTCTGGAGTCTGGACTTTGACTATACCATGACCAAGAAATTTTGACCTTGACAAAAAATAATTGACAACCCCTGTTGTAGGGATTTATAAATTCTCCTGTCTGTCTACAGTAAGTGCAGTATCATTTGCAGGGCTGCCCAGAGGGGGGGACAAGTGGGGCAATTTTCCCCAGGCCCCGGGCCCCACAGGGGCCCCCACGAGAATATAGTATTCTATAGTATTGCAACTTTTTTTTATGGAAGGGGCCCCCAAAATTGCTTTGCCCCAGGCCCCCTGAATCCTCTGGGCAGCCCTGATCATTTGTCCGTTTTGTTTTGCTCTGTCAATGTGGCATGTTGATGAGTACAAAATTAATAAGTTGAACCTTACTTCAAACATAGAGTCTTCACTTATTAATTTAAAATCAGTGTATTAAGAATTATGTTCCTTCCATTTACATATAGAATCAGAATTTGCTATGGTAACTACTTTAGAAGATCATTGTTCTCGTCACAGGTTTTTTAAAACTGTAACAGTGACTTGCATTATTTTCTAAGGCAGCATGACCTGGAATACAATTTTGTGTGCCAGGTCACACTGGTTCATAACTGGAGAAGAATGGTAACCATTTGGTATTTTCAATTACTCTATTAGGTGATTCTGTAAAGATAAAAAAATCACAGGCTCAAACCTTGCCAGCTCTGCAGTTAGTTTGCACCATGCTGTCAGGACAAATCAGCCCTGTGGGCATTTCCCTAGTGTAAGGTGGTCCTCCAGTGGTGCAGAGCTCATATAATGGCTCCTATGCCACTTCCACAGCCTCTGGCCAGCCAAGTGGGTAGGGATAGGGAAAAGATGTGTGGCTAGGTGCTCTGGTGACTCCTGGGTTGCATAATACCCCCTCTTGTGGCAAATGACAACTGATGTGATTTCAAACAGCCTGAAGGTCAGCCTAAATTATACCATGGGACCAGCCCAGTTCACATCTGGCTCAGTATCACAGAGTGAAAAGAAGGCTTTAAACCATATTTGGCACCCCTTCCTGAACCACGCTGTGCATTTTTTGGTTGCAGCCAGGGATTTGCCCTCATATATTTAAACAAAATTTGTACCTGTGTTACTAATAGAGATGGCTCCAAGCTATATTATTCAGACTGGTGTGGATTTCAAGCATCCCAAAATCTGGGGGAATTCTAATGCAGAATTTTGGTTTGGCCCATCATAGAAATGGGACTAACTGCAAAATTCAGATGGACTCACATTATCCAGATTCCTTATAAATGTGGGAGCATTTGAAGCTAAGATTTTGCACCCCTAGTTATTAATAATACCACAAACAATTACAACAAATCTAAATAATCAATAACACTATTTATTTACCTATCTCATAGAACTGGAAGGGACCCTGAAAGGTCATTGAGTCCAGCCACCTGCCTTCACTAGCAGGACCAAGTACTGATTTTGCCCCAGATCCCTAAGTGGCCCCCTCAAGGATTTAAACTCACAACTCTGGGTTTAGCAGGCCAATGCTCAAATCACTGAGCTATCCCTCCCCCGATTTCACTGAGCTTGGCCAGAGAAACTATAACCACCAATTCTCATATAGAATCTACTAAAACAAAATGGGAATATTTAAATATAATATTCGGGAGGAGGAAAATTTGTTTTTTTAATTGATGAAAACGTTTACATTCTTATGTATGAATAAACCTTTTTAATACACAAAACTAGAAATTTGTCTCTAAATGATGGGACTTACAAGAAGACTACATATAGCTACCACTGTATAACTTATATTTCAGTTAATTGTTTGTTAATTTCTGTTACACAATTTTTTGACAATTTGGTGGAAATTCGTAGAATTTTGTCTCCAGTTTTGAAAATGTATTTTATTACATTAATGATATACAATTTACTGTACAGAATTCCTCTTTGAGTATCCATGGCTGCTGGACTGCTTTATCATACCTATGGCACTGATGTTTGGTAGTGCAGCAAATATGACCAGAACCACAGTATATGTGACCTTTTGGGGGGGGGGGGGGATTTTGTTTTTTGTTTTGAATAATTTGAGTGTAGGAGATCAGATTAATGTGTGAATAAATGCAGGTGCTTTTTTACAAGGTGATGGGAATTTGTACCCTCTATTTATACACAGGTAGCAATTTTGCATAAAAACGCAAACTGTTTCTAGAGTGAGACACTTTAAACATGAGGCCTCAGGTCACCCCGTGCAGTCTCATGGGAGTAAAGATCAACAGCTCACTCTGCTTGTCGTTATAAGGACTTGCTTTTTGCATTGTCCTGTTACATTTCTGGCAGAGACAGCAGCTCATACACCTAGCTATTTGTTACCACCATTTTCTCATAGCAAGATCAGGTCCAGATCACAAGCCCAAGAAAACTCTTCCAGGGCTCCTTTTGGCCCAATGTAACCTTTTAAAAATAACACAAAGGCATGTTTAGCTAACCTGATTAAAATAAGATACTATCTGTAATAATTTTACCACAAAAATATACTGGATGAGTCATTTATCAATACAGCTAGACAAAACTATTCACTGGAAATAATTAGCCTGTTTTCAAATGTGGCTGCCAAAATAGTCTTTCAAAGTCCAATCAGCCAATCATAACTTTTAATTTAACTACAGTGACTTTAATTGGATGAGGATAACAACAGGTGGCTTTTGGGTGGGACACCTACTCCTTATTTTAAGTTCACAAACTTTTTGCACAGAAGTGGCTTTGTAAATAAAATCCATTTCCCCAAAATCTCATGATGAAAAATTATGTGAAACACATGGGCAAACCACTCTCCAATTTAGTACAGCTCTATTTAGCAGACAATAAAAGTTCTTAAAGGTATATTCTCCCACTAAATCCCCGTTAGCTTCTGAAAAAACACTTAGTAAATATATTGTATCAGACAGGTTTGCTACATCTACCGTCACAATACTATGAATTAAACTCAAGTCAGAGTAAAACACCAAAAACTACACAAGCCTCAAATTGTTGAGATATCTTTTCCCCTAAATCCTATTTTGACATGGACAGATATTTCCACATTGTGTTGGTAAGTAGAGGAGCTCAGATACTACCAGTGGTAAGGACCATATAAGTACCTTGATAGATAAGATACAGATAGTAGTAAAGCATCATTGCTAGTAATTTTAAACTCTAGCCTCATTACCTTGACCCATTAATCTGATTTGGGTTACATTCCATCTTGATGGTGACTCTAGCTGGTGGTTGTGATAACCAGTCTTGCTGGGGGACACGCGGACTCATCTTTGATGTCTGCCCATATTCGCTGGAAGAGGAGGCAGTCATCTCTGTCTTAGTAAGGTGTGGCGTTCCGTAGGCACACTCAAACAAGGACTGGTCTTCGCTTACTACTGATAATGCTTCCTGAAAACCAAAGCAGAGACATCAACATGACACTGTGTCAGAGAAGTCATACAGATACAACAAAATCCCTTAAGACAATGAGATAGGTCTCAAAAGTCTTGTGGGGTATATACATTAATTGTTTGTCTGCATGCTTATTATTATTTATTTGTATTACAGTAGCAGCTATAGGCTAGGGCCCTATTGTGCTAAGCACTGTACAAACCTATAACAAAAAGACAGTACTTGCCCAGAGAACTTACCTGTTAGATGTTTCCAATCAGGAACTAAAATGCACCATGTCCAAGCTTTATTAACAGTTCAGAAAAAATAATGGAAAGCTAATGACTAAATAGAACAAAGCAGGAGTAGCAGTGAACTTAAATCTTTCACTTCCAAGGCTTGAACTTACAGGCCAGATTCTCAGCTTGTGTAAACTGACATACCCTGCACTGACTTCAACAACTTTACACCAAATTATGATCTGGTCCTTGAAACTTCTACTCTTGGAATCCTGGTGTCTTCGTATCCTGGAATTCTCATATACCATGAATGGACTGGATGGCTTAGGGGATGTGTAATGGAATACTGAGCCTTTATCTGTCCAATAGGTCATTAGATCACCTCTGCCCCAGATTAAGTGACCAAAAGTCATTATTGTCTGCTCTGTTTGGAGGTCTTTCTGAAATGAGTAAATGGTCTCTATTCAGTTGCTATGATGAATTTTTGACATCAGAAAAGCTATCATCACAATTGACAATTTTTTTGGTCTCAGTAGAGTGGCCAAGGATTGGAGACGCCTGGAAAACATACTACATTCTTGCCCTCAAGGTGCTTTCTAGGTCATGATTCAGGCACTGTGATGGGATGAGTGTGGTGGGGAAGCATGCTCTGCCACTGTGCTTTTCAGTAGAGAAACAGAGAAGTTCAGTCTCCTGAGTTGTTTAACTAGCATCTTTAACCAACAATGAATTAACTAAACCTTTAACACAGAAATTAAAAAGCCATCTTTGGAGAAAGGAACGAGTACCATGCATTAACTCCCCCTGTAAGATGAATAAGGTTTGGTTTTGCTGACTCCTTGGGAGTTTCTCTTCCTTCTTGCCTATAGAATTAGGACCAATTTCTCTCCGAGATAATACCGTGATGGGGAGAAGATATGTAGCTGGTTCCAACCTCTGTTTCAGGGATCCTGCTCTTCCTATGAGCAGAAACAAAATGCAAGCCAGCCTAGCACTTGTTGCTGGCTGCAGAATAGGTGCTAACCAGCTGGTGGGCTGGACACCACCCCTAAACCACAAACCACACCCGCTTGAGGATGTGGCATGTTGACCACCCCATTAGCCATCTCTCTCTCTCTCTCTCAGAACGCTTCCTCAAGCAGTGTGTATAGATCCTACTTTGCTGCATGTGTGGGAAGAGGTTCTCTACAGTTTCTTCCCCACTGTGGTGACAGCCCAGTTACTGCACCTTTATGGACTGCAACATTCTGGGTGGCAGAGTTCAAAAGATTTGTCATTTTGAAGGCAGCTGCAGCTCTAGTTAGTTGGAGATTGAACCCGGCAATGAAACAGTGCTGTATGTAGCTTATAAGCAAAGGCCATCTCTCTTACTGTACCTTTGCAGCTAATACTGTTACTTTATTTCTTCTTGTTGTTATTATGAACTAATTAAAGTCACCGTAGCTTGGTTAGAGGGCATAATTGGCTGACAAGATTTTGGGGGACATAATACCAACTTTGTGCACTCGTGCAGCCCAGGGCAGGTTTGAACCCTTTCGTGCCAAATTCTGCTCTGGCTGATACAGAACTGAAGAGCTCAGATACTGCCCAGTGGGTCCTTTGCCCCAACGATCAATGGTAGGCTAGCCCAGGATTCCAGGGAGAGATCCAAGGCACCAAATGGAGGTGATTGTTTGGCTGATCCTTTGGACATTGAGCAACACACAACCCCAGCTGACAGCAGCATATGAGCTACCCAGCTAGCAGTTCCCGGCCAATGGGAGCGTGGAGCCGGTGTTTGGGGTAGGGGCAACGCGCAGAGCCCCGTGGCCCCCCCACCTAGGAGCTGGACCTGCTGGCCACTTCCGGGGCACAGTGCAGAGCCTGGACATGTAGAGACTAGCCTACCTTAGGTCTGCAGCACCACCAACTGGACTTTTAATGGCCCAGTCGGCGGTGATGACTGGAGCCACCAGGGTCCCTTTTTGACCAGGTGTTCCGGTAAAAACCAGACAACTGGTCACCTTAATTTCTGCTGGGAAAGTCTGTGGAGGGCTCCAGCCTACATACTGTTCCTGGAGTGTGGGTTATCCGCTGGGGCCTTCTGCCCTCAAAGCCTGGCTCCACAGAGGTTGGGCCTGAGGGAGGGCTGAGGGAAAAGGGTTGTGATGTCCCTTGATGCTGAGTCAGTTACTAAATTAGCTAGGGATCCTTAAATCCACGTTTTTTATTTTCATATAACAAGATTTAAAGTAATAAAGTTACTCGGGGAAAAAAATATTTTGTTTTACAAAGTTCTGAATAATTTTCCATGAAAATATACACACCCCTGACCACGTACCCGCAGCACTGAATGGACTGACATCCAGTGTCTGAGACTGTTTTCTACCCGCTTCTTTCGCCTCTGCTCCACTGAGGAGTCAGTACAGGGACTAAATAAGAATAACACATTATGTAATGTTAACTTTGGCAATACTGATTACTATAAATATGTATAAGAAAGTGTGAATTATACAAGAGAAAGCAGAAGCAAAATTGCAAATATGGCAAGCCAGGATGTTGTTATATATTGCTTACAGATTAAGCTGTCTTCAGAAGTGGCAACAAAATGCCACTCATTCATTTTATTTACTTAATCTGCCACCCACAATTGAATAAAAAACATGATTTATTCAGCATTAAAACAAAACCTGGCTCTAAATAACATAAATGAAGACAATTTTGGACTAACTATAGAAAACAAATGGAGATTGTAAAAGATGAGATTTACTAAATTTGCATCTATTGGGATAAATAAGTGCAAAACAATAGTATCTGCCTCACATCTTAATTACTTTTCAATATGCTATCAATGCACAATCTAACACATTATATCATACAAAGGGGAAAAAAGTACATATATTTCAAATTTGTGTGCAGGTTACACTGACCACCAGAAAGACTATGCCAATTAGTTAGGATTACAGTGGATAATTGAGAGACTGTGACAAAAATCAAACAAACCCACAAACAAACCCAGGAGACTGAGTCTAGCTTCATATGTCAAGAAAATGTTCAATTATAGATGATTTCCAAGAAAAACATGCACAACTCACTATAGGAATTCCTCATCTAATTTAGTAGTCTATACCCCATCTTGTGATTTAGCAGCCATTACGTTTGTATAGGACTATGGAGGCAATGTAGGAATATCTGTGTTTCTGTCATCTTCTGAGACTGGCTGCTGGGTTACCTGATGTGGAGGACTTAGTGGTAGAGTGAGCTCTCTGTTACAACTATTCAACCTTTACTGGCTCCCTTGATGTTTTCCTATTGAGTCCTGGGTGACACCACATGCCTCCTCTCTCCATTGGGAAGGATGTAGGGACAGAGGGTGGACAACAGAGTCAGTCTTATTTCATCTCTGAGCCAGAATAAGTTGCAGTGGTTGACAAAGCATTTCCATGAGTCTGTGGAGTCAACATATGTAAAAGCATGACCTAAAACAGACTATCCTTACTCCCTCCATGACTCATCATCTTTCTCCAGCACATCAGTGGGGCCAGGATTTCACCCCAGAGGTCGATGGGAGTTTTGCCATTGACTTCAGTGGGGCTTGGATTTCACCTCTGGAAATATGTAATATGCTTAACTGCCATTCCACAACTCCAATCGTCTGCCAGGATTCATGCAATCATACTCTCTGCCATCTGCTTCTTTTCAAAGTACAGTGGCTGCAATTGAAATTTCATGATGTGTCAACAGCTACCACCAGGGCTGGCTCCAGGCACCAGCTTCTCAAGCAGGTGCTTGGGGCGGCCCTTCCGGACAGGGGCGGCAGTTCCAGGTATTCGGCGGCAATTCGGCGGACGGTCCCTCACTCCGCCTGGGAGTGAAGGACCTCCAGCCGAATTGCAGCCGCAGATCGCGATCGCGGCTTTTTTTAGATCGCGATTGCGGCTTTTTTTTTTTTTTTTTGGTTTTGGCTGCTTGTGGCGGCCAAAACCCTGCAGCCGGCCCTGGCTACCACACAATTATATCTGAGACTACCACAGCTTTTCCCTGTACTTTAAGATACCTGTGGTACATGTGTGGGCACTGTGTGGGGAGAATTGGCAAATACTGACTTTTTAATGGCTTTTGTTGTAAGCTTAAACCCTATGGTGGTTTGAGCAATTAATGGCCAAAGGCACTTCAGCATTTAGGCCAATCCTAGACACTGCAAAGACGAAGCAATACCTAACAATTTAAGGATGGTTCACAGTAATAAGAGAGACAGTCTTATATTAAAGACTAATATTCGTACTGTAGGAAAATACAAAAATTATATTAAGAAATATGGAAATTGTCTCTTGATTACATAAAATCTTCTGATTCAATAAGCAATATGGTATATAAAAACAGACAGTAAATAGCCTTTAACTCTTCCTCCTACACTTCTGCCCATACTATCTATCCTTGATTTCCCTCTATTGACTAAGACTGTGATCCTGAATTTTTATGTTTTCTCCATTTGTAACAAGCTCTATAAATGACCAAATAATAGTCATTAAAATATTATTCACTGTCAAAGAAGTTATTTGGGAATAGACTGTTTATTATTTAATCAGGTCTAAATTGCAATGAGTAAAAACGACTTTCATATGCCATTCACCTCAATCATGAAGGCTAGGAAAGGAATACTCTAACTGCAATTTCTCATATTTAACATATTTGATATAATATACTTTGCCATTATTTTGCAAAAACAAATGTAAAGTAAAAAACTTTAAAAGTTTAAATGTAAAAAATTATTAAAGAGTAATGTAAATAATTCATTGC